CTATAAAAATTTACGAGCACCAATATCTTCAAAATTCAAATCAAAAATTGATGATATTTTAGAAATATTTAATTTACCAGAAATTATGATAAATACACTACAATTTCAGATTCCTAATAAATACAAAAAATACGAAGAAGAAATTAAAAAATATGGAAAAAACTTTATGATGAATATCACAATAAACAACAAAAAATTGATGAAAAACGAGAAGAAATAAAAAATAAAAAACATCTTTCAAAATTCGAAATGGAATTACGTGGTAAAGATTTTAAGGACACTTTCAATCTAACTTCTTTTCCCTTTAATAAAGAAGAATACCCATTTTTATATGGTCTTCTTTGTTTTTTATTTTCCATTCCTCCGACATCAGTATCAGTGGAAAGGTTTTTTTCGAGTGTCAAACAAGTTACAAAAGTAAATATGAAAATACAAACTATATTCAAAAGACTTTTTGTAAGTTTAAATTATCACAAAAGAAAATTTTCATTTTGGCAATTTTAAAATACATGTGGAAGTTTAATTATAAAAGTAACTGGTTATAAATGATTAAGTGTTTGATTTTGCAAGTTTGTACAATAAATAACTTGATGTAATGCAATGTCATTATTTAATTTATATAAATTTTATATAAAATTATATAAATTATATAAATAAAATATAAAATTATATTTAAATTTTGACTTTATTTGTATTATTTGTATTGTAATTATTAATAATTACAATAAAAACAATAAATTATAATGGTTGTAATATTATTAATGATATAGTTCATATGTGGTTTATGACATTATATAACAGGTTTATTGAAATTATTATTTTAATATATTTATATTATAATAATAATAAAATTTATCATAGAAATGTAAATATAGAACAAAAAGTTAATTAATTGATTTTTTTCTGTTTTTTCTGGAATTTTTGATTGTTTTATCTCTTGGAGATTTGTAAATTTAATGATTATTTTATTATTCTTTTTAGTTTTTAACATGTTTTTTCTGTTTAAACTTTGAAACATATTTGTAATAAGATTAATACACAAGTTTGCATCAATGACTTGATTACTACTCACTGACACACAGACTTTACCAATGACTTTGGCCCAATGTGAAAACTCCGCTATAAATGTTCTGTCTTAAATTGACAACAGATTCATATCAACAGTAGACATGCGGATATATGATATTATCAAATTATGTTGATTAGACTGAATGGCATGTTCGAATTGACTTTATTGATAAACGATTGATTTTGAATTATGTTTTGTTTCGAATTACAAACCAACACAAAAACATTATCTTTTCGTATTTCAAAAATACGTTTTGGTTTCTTCATTTAAGACATGTTGTGATTTTATTAATACAATTTGTTAATATACTTTCAATACTTGTTTAAATATATTAATTTGTTATTCAAAATTAATGTTATTGATCAGCCTTTTTCAAAAATTCCGATAAAGATTAACAACTTTTTGCACAATATTTCTTTAAAATAACGTCTAAATACGGGTTTAGAATTTTTTGGTGTTTTTATATGAGATTTATTGTTTATAAATATATTGGCTACCACTAACCTATTTTTACTTAAGACATCTTTTTAAGATTAGTTCCTTTTTTTAAAGAAGAAAAAATGCAATTATAAGATAAATTTTTTTAAACATAAAAAAATATTTTTGCATGTAAAATATCAAAATTTCCCGAACCCTGCTATCCACACAAAATAATCCAATCCACAGGGATTCACCATTTCCGTGTGGATACGCTCTATCACGTTAACACTCTTAATTAAATAGTATGATGTTATTGAATAGTTATTGTTATTAGTTTTTTCAATGTTTATTATATTTGAGATTTAAATTATATAATATTGAATTGTAAAGTAATTCATAAAAATTACTAAAAGTAATAATATATAAATAATTATTTCTCAAGTGCATACAATTTCTCCACAACACTATTTATCGATGGTCTGTAATTTGGATCTTGACACCAACAATCCGATATAATTTCGAATTCCCCATCACCCATAGACTCGGTTTTTTCCAGTCGAAGTCCCGAACAGACATAGTCAGCAACACCCCACGGATAAGTGAACCTGGTATCACTTTTCTTGTAGATTTCATCCCACACAAGTGTTTGATAGAATGTCACACCAAAAGAGAATATATCAGCTGATTTCTTGTACTTTTCCTTTTCGAGTATTTCAGGGGCCATGTAAATAGGTGTCCCAACTCCTTTAGTGAAAGTCATGTTAGTCATCAATAAATTGATATTTCTGGATGATCCGAAATCAGTCAACTTGGCATTCACTCGAACATTCAATTCAAGTGAAACGACTAAGACGTTATCGGGTTTAATGTCTCTATGCAAGATTCCATTTTCGTGTAAATACTTAATCCCATTTGCCAAGTCACTAATAAATTTCACACGAAGTTTATCTTTCCCATACAACACGTTTGTGTTGTTTTTGTGATCTTTAGTAATAAGGTCTTGTACACTCCCATACTCCGCAAATTCGGTGACCATACAGATCTTCGAAGAGTCAAAAACAGCACCATAAAAGTGGATAATGTAATCGCTTCTAAACTTGTCAAGCATCTCCACCTCCTTTTTGAATTCATCAAGCATTTTCTCATTATTGGTCGACTGTTTCATCTTCTTTATAGCCACTTTTTTACGTCTGAAAGTACCTAAAAAGACTATTCCAAAGGATCCATTTCCAATTTTCTTCTCTTCGAACAACTCGTCGGGGTCTAAGTGTGTAGATAATTCGGTTTCAAAAACAAGGGGAATGTTGGTCGAGTACTGCTCGCCTTTGTGAATATCAAGGGACACACAGATCACTTGGTCGAGTAATTTACAGGTGCACTGTGGTGTAACAAAGATCTCAAATTCGCAAGCATATCCTTTCTTGACTGTCACTATTTTTGGCTCGGTTCGAATGAGGTACTTATGTTGAGTGTTCATCGTTGTTAACTGAATTTTTAAAGTGTTCTTAGAATTGTTACCTATACAAATGAGACCCTTAGACTCTTCAAGAACAGGAAGGGTCTCATCATATTTGATTTCTTTAGCACTACTCACTATACCATTTGGAAGTGGAATCATTGTTACATTTGAGCGTTTCATTAAGAACACACACACCTGCGCCTCTTTCCTTTTCTCCTCATTTCTTAGTGAGTGGAAAATGACAAAGAGAACGATAATTATAATACCCACAATTAACAGTATAATAAATCCAGCTACGGAAAGACCAATTACAAGTCCAACATTTGATTTTGATTTGTGACAAGTTGTATCAAATTCCTGAGTCTCATAGCCATCTATACATTTGGAACACTTGGATTTCATCGCCCCCAAACAATTAAGAATATTTGAATAATGTACACACAAATTTAATTCATTAAGTATGTTATCTTCGGTACAAGCGAGACATACTGTTTCAGACTCACATGAAGTGCAATTGGAGTGACATTTTTCACATTTTGACAAATGCGAGAGATAATATCCGTCTTCACAGAGAGTACATCCATGTGATGTTTTGTTAATACAGTTGTCAAGAGTAGAATAGGGCTGACACAATCCAGAATAGCCTATTCTGTAATAAGAAGGATTGCATTCAAGACAACTTGTACCACTTAAACATGTTGAACAAGATTCATTACATGCATCACAATTTCTTCCATCTATACTTTTGAAATACCCGTCACGACATGTCACACACCCATCATATGTGGACATCATTTGGGTGCACACTGTGATGAGTGAATTCATTTGAGTACAAGCACCATTTTTTAAATATGAATAATCGTCACATTTTGTGCAGAAGGTCTTGTTTGCGCAATAAACACAATTGTTTTCACATGGAATACATTTCAAATTGTCAAGATAAAAGCCATCGGAACAACGGAAACACCCCTTTTGGTTACGTTCCAAACAATTGTCGGTTTCCAGTTCACTCTTTTGAGTGGAATTGGGTTGTGTATGACACAATCCAGACTCGAGATAATATTCCGAAGAACATTCAACACATCCACTTTGCATAAACATAGTTGTACACCCAGTGTACTTACTTATTGATATATCAACACATTCAGTGTCTGTTTTATAATACCCAGACTGACACATTGAACACACATTATGGTTGTAAATATTACAATTTTTAATGGTGGCACATCGCCCAGAAATTGTGATTGTGTCACATGAAATACACACATCGGAATTTTGAATGGTACAATTTGTGTTTGTAACACATTTCCCATTTATGATGTGATGCCCTTCATCACATTGCATACAATCGTTCGTAACACCTTGTATACACAAATTATCAGTATTACACATATGTTTATCACCACTTTGATACATATCACGTTTACACTTCAGATCAACAATTTTGTTTTCAACTGCTAAATATAAACAAATATCGGAATTTTCACATGACATTTCTTCGTTGCTTTGACTTAAATAAGTTCCGTTGATATATTGGTAACAAATACTTCCACTTCCATAAACACATTTGTCGTTCACTGACGAGCATATTCCGGTGTTGTCTGTAACAGAATTTCCATAACAAAGAATGCACGTTTGTGTATTAGTCGTCATTCCATATTTACAGAATGTGTCTTTCGTACAACTCCCTTTGATCGAAATGACATCGTTGTTACATATTTGACATGTTTTGATATTCTGCAAAATACAGTCAGACGATTGCGATAAACATTTGCTCTCAATTAAATTGTAGTTTGTGGAACATTTCAAACACCCACCGACAAGCTGCTCGGCACATCCAGTCATTTTTGGTACACACTCTCCTTTGTTATAGTACATTGATGTGTCACATAAATTACAACTTCCCGATTGTAATACATATGGTTCATAACATTCAACACATG